ACCCCACTGAAAAGGAAAAAATACAAATTAAAAATAATGGAAGGCTCAAATTAGGAACTAGATTTACACAATAAAAATGACACTATCCAGCCCTCAGGAAATTAAAAGGAGTTGGTTCTAAAGACGAAAGAATTGGGGGAAAGAACACATAAACCCTCACCCCTTCAAAGGGCTGGGGTTCTTCAATTTCCTGGATATTTTACAGCACAAAAAGAAAAAGATCTCTGAAACTCTGGTCACCAGCTCTCAAAATTCCTCCTCAATTCAAAGTTCCAGTAGATTTATTCATTCTTTTTTTCTCTCTTGGATGTACAATGCCTCAGAGCAAATTCAAATCTTTGAAAGCTGACCTTTCCGCCAGGCTTTGGATCTATGTCCCGCTTCCTTAAGAACTGTCCTCCCCAGCTGCCCCTCCTGCTGTGACCTGCATTCATCCTTTCTCCTCCACTCTTCCCTTCCTAAAATGTGTTCCTTTGTATCATTGGGGAAAACCTCCCATCTTCCTAAAATGTGTCCCTTTGTATCATTGAAAAGAAACGGAGCAAAACTTTCTGCTCATCTCTGCAGTTCAGGGCTCAGCAAACATTTCCCGCGAAGGGCCCTACAGTAATTACTTTCAGCTTTGTGTGTCATACAGTCACTGTCCCAAATTTCAACTTCTCTATAGACAATAGGTTGAAAAAGGAATGGGCATGGCTACTTTAATAAAATAAAGTAAAACTTTATTACAACACAGGCAGTAGCTAGATTTGGCCTGCAGGCCATAATTTGCCCAGCCCTGATGGACTCTAGAAAAGGTGCTCTATCTCAGGGCTCCATTTCTTAAGCTGTTAGGACTCCTTACCCCAGGAGTCCTGGCTTCTACCTTCTCAACTCTTCTATCAAAGTTCACCAAGGACCGCCCAGCCTGCTCGTCATATTCCTGCTCCAGTCCTCGTTTTCTCCAGTTTGAAGCTTGCCACCCCACCTCCTGCACAGGATGTCCAGCTCCAGTCCTTCTGAGAATATTACTTCTTATTCTCCTTTTTGGCCCCATTTTTTCTACCTCACCCACAAAATATAAGCATTTCCCAGACTTGGACTTTCCTTCTTCTTGAGGGACATGTTCTGTACATCCATCACTCCCAGATGAGTCTTCCCCAGCATCCCCTGCAAGGCTCTAGGCTTCCTCTTTTTATCCTCCCCATGCACTGTGGGTGTACCGTCGATCCATAAGCACCAGGGGTTGGAACTGGGCAGGTCCACGTAACTTATACACAAGTTTTTTTCAATGAACATATTGGAAAATTTTTGGAGATTTGCAACAGTATAAGAAAATGTTTTCTTTTCTCTAGCTTTTTTGATTGTAAGAATACTGTATATAATACACACGATGTATAAAATATGTGTTAATCAACTGTTCATGCTATTGGCAAGGCTTCCAGTCAACAATACACTACTAGTAGTTAGGTGTTGGGGGAGTCAAAAGTATACATGGTTTTTTGACTGTGCAAGAGGGTTAGTGCCCCTGACCCCTGAATTGCTTAAGGGTCATAGAATAATTATTGTTGATGGCTTCTTGGCCTGCTATCCTACTCTGCAGTGAAGTAAGGAATGGTGTTAATATGCAGAGGAACCCCACCATAAGCAAATACGTGATCTCTTAAAAGTGGTAATTTATAATTGCAGAAGGTCTGTGACAAAATCAAGGACTTCAGGATGCCTCCAAAACTAGAAAGAATGCCTAAAACAAAGGCACCACCCAGCTTCTAGTAATGAGAAGTTTAATTGTTTGCATCACTCTTCTGGATGAAAACAACTGAAAAGGAGAAACAAACAAAATTACCAATTTAAATCCACAAGGAATAGGAGATTATAAAAAGTGATGGAGCAGATTTAAAAAAGAAACAAATAGGAAGAATATAAATAGAAATACAAAACTAAATTTTAAAAACTCAATGGACAGATTTAACAGAAGTCAGACAGAGGTGAAGCAGGAATTAGTGAACTGGGAGATAATAAATTATCCAGAATGTAGCACAGAGAAACATGTTGGTAAATACAAAAGAGAGGGTAAAAAGTACGGAGGATCCAGTTTGAGGACCTACTCTCAATTTACTGAACATTACTGAGCAGAGGTAACATTTGAAGACATAATATCAAGAACATTTTACACTGATAAAATACGATAGCCCACAGGTTCAAGAAGTGCCCCCAAAATTAATGAAGGATAAATCAAATGCACATTTTTTAAAAAGTAACCAGAGCATAAAAGTTGAACCACTGTGTTGTGAAATTCAAACCATCATAAGATTGTATATCAATGATACTTAAATAGGTAGGTAGATAGATAGATAGATAGATAGATAGACAGACAGATAGATAGATAGATAGATAGATAGATAGATAGATAGATAAAAGTACCAGAGCAAACCAGAGATTGTCTTCAAAAGAATTACATTTAGAGTTTAAGTGGACACCTCAACAATAATGGAAGTTCCAAGATAGAAAAATACCTTTCATGAACTGAGAGTAAATGATTACCAAGAATAATATAATCAACAAAAATGCCTTTCAAGAATGAAAAAAGAATACATTTTTAGACAAATAAATAGTTTACGACAAACAGAGCCACTTCAAACGAAATCCTAAACCATGTATATATCAACCAGATTAAAAAAGACAAGATGCCAGAAATTTCTAAGATACAGGAAGGAAAGAAGAGCAGAGAAAGTAATAAATATTTGGGTAACTATACAAACACTGGCTGTACCAACCAAATTTCATCTTACCTTGTGTGATGAAATACATTCTACCAATAACAGCATATACATTTATAAAAGCTAGCAAGTGAGCAAATGGAGTTTAAATATTCTTTTTATTCCACGGAAAGAGAATGAAAATATTAACTGAGTTTATGACTTTGATAGATAACAAATCACCTTTTGTTTCTTACGGTAACCAGTAAAAGGGCAGAATCCTGCCAAATCAACTATCCTAAAAATGGGTGGCATGGAGCACCCCGCCCAAACCCAGCCACGCGGCAGTGCATATTCGGAGAGATGGGAGCACAGAAGGGCCCTGCTTTGGTAGGTCCAGATCTCACCCCCAACCCCCACTGAAAAAATAAGGCAAAAGGATATCCTTGAGACAAATACAAAGCACAGAATAAGACAGCAGATTTCAATCTATGCATGTAAATAATTACATTAAATGTAAAAGCAATAAATGCTCAAATTAGAAGGACAAAACCAGATTAAATATTTTAAAATTTCAACATTATATTGCCTGCAAGAGACACAAAATTTAATACCACAGAAAAAAGTTAAAGGAGAAATAAAGCGTAAGGAAATGTAGATAGGAACATTTACCTACCAGCAGAAACAGAGTGGAAAATTTAAACTAATTATTGATCTTCTTCCCTGCTGGGCAGATAAAGCTTTCTGGTTTTATTAGGCAGGCTACTACTCACGTTGAAAATAGTTACCTATTATAACAAACTTCTTAAATTAAGTCAACCGAGTTGCACTGGTTTGGGGATTAAATAGCTTTATAAGCACTCACTCCTTTGTTCCATATAAATACTATTTAAGCTGGATAAACCACAAGAACACTACTGATCTCATTTAAGGACAATGCTATTTACTCATTGGAGGGAAGGTAAGAAACTGGACAGATGATAGTTTCTGAATTTTATTTTACCGTTCTCGCTTCACTTTTACTGAGGGGACTGACTAGGATTAACACCAGGCTCCGATGACATTGTCTGGCTCATTAGGCGGGAAGGGTAGTCCCCAGAACACTGATGAGCAGAATGCAGTCTGCGGGAACCAGCACAAGCTCTGCTTATGCACAAGCACAGATGTCCTTTCTGATCCAATCAGCCACTCTTACACCACGGGGGTCAGCGAGGCCATCAACAGAGCAGAACAGATCTGGACCATCAGAACGCAATGCAAGGAGGCCTTGCCTGGTGTGCTCCAAAGCATCAGATAAAGAGAACAGTATGAAAAAAAAAAAAGGACAGTATGTTTGGTGCACTGTAGTTACACTACAGAGATTTGCTTCTAAAATAAATACTATTAGACTATCGTACCTGCATGCCCCATTCCTTAATTCATTCAACAAATATTTACTGTACACCTCTGACTATTAGCTAGGTATACACAGCTCAGCCAAGAAGATGGTCTCTACCATCATGGTGTACAGAGCATAGTAAATAATCAAACCAGCAGTATTTTTATATATTAATTTCTCAGTTCAAAAACAAATTTGCTTACAATTATTAGTGTAAACCAAGGTTCAAAAGTTTTAGGTAATTTGGTACCACTCTTCCAAGAGGCAGGAAATATTAGGCCTCAAGAATTTCCAGGCCTTATTTTTTTGATCATTTTCCATCAATGCTTTAAATTTTAACCTCTCAACAGTGAGGGTGACTTTCTAGGCCTCTTGGAGATAACACCATGTAGGCCAACTCCCTAAATTCCAGCGGCAGCACAGTGTGGCATAACCTAATACAGTGGCTCTAACAGAACTGGTCTCTGAGCATGCAAGTTCCCGAGAGCAGGGGTAGACAGACCACTGCCTAGAGGCACAATCTCACAGCCACCTGTTTGGGTCAATGAAGTGTTATTCCAACCCAGCCACGCTCGTTCATTCAAGTATTGTCTCCGGAGTCAGCCATACTAGAACAGCAGAGCTGAAGGCAGCTGCAACAGGGACACTGGGGTCCCCAAAGCCAAACATATTTAGTATGTGGTCTTTTACAAGAAAAGTCTGCTCTAGAGGGAATCCAAGGAGGACCTTCTCAGCCATTTAGAAAACGCTTTTAGCCTCTACGCACAGACAAATGTCAGACAGCCAGGAGAAAAAGGCCCTTTCCCCAGCTGGTACACACCGAGCTGACTCCCTAGAGTTGGCTAGGCAGTTACTTAATGAAGACTTTATTAAAAAAAACATTTATCTTCACATAATTAAACTATCTCCATCGTTCCTTCCTTATCAGATGCCAACATGGCTACCGGGCCACTTCCACTGCCGTGCAGAGCCCGGAGCAGGGGGCACTGGCTGGCACAGCGCATGGTGCTCCCGGCTGTTGGCTGGACCGTCGGCCGCCTTCCTGTGAAAGCCTGGTCTCTCTGTCATCCATCCTCCTCCAGCGTCTGTAACGGCTGGTTCATTAGGAGGCTTACAAACTACTGCCAGTGCAGTCGCGCCTTCAAGAACACACTGAAACACACAGGCCCCAAACACAGTGACGAGGCCATGTGTGAAGCCCAGAGCCCACTTCTCTAGGGCTCAGCTATACCCAGATATATGAAAGGGCAGGAGACAGGCAGCACATATTCATGATGTCATTCTGTGGTCTCAGCAACAGATTCCAAGTAGCCTTTGAGAATTAGCTCCAAGCATCAAAATTTTTCAGTCATAAAATCCCCAGAAAGACAAAGCTTCCCTATCTATGACTGCAGACTGCAGAAATCTTCTGGATACAGAATGGTTTCTGTGTAGGCTTTGCAATGACCTCGGTGAGACTATTTATTTCCCTTTTTCAGACTGAAGAGTGGATCTGTACAGAACACAAGGTAGACGTTTAATGAGATGCTGAGGATCAGGGAATGTGAAATACCACCAGGGAATCATTGTATTTTTACAGGTGTGAACAAAGGAAGTGGAAGTATGCCAGAATGTGCTACCACCTCAGAGCCCAGTTAAATTCTGCCAAGGCTTGTTATGTCATTGCAAATCAAATGGTCATCCTAACTGTCTGGTACCCAACTCACTGTCATCATCCCTGCCTTAATTAACACAAATGTCCCTATATTTATATGTGATTGAAAGTTGAGAGTCCTCTCTACCTCCCCTCCCACCTGAGTCCTCAGCCAATCATTTGCTTAGGGCTCCTGGGCCTCATTGGTCCTGTCATGTTTACCTCTCGTGCTCTCACTGACCTCTGGTTGAGGCCCTCTTCCCTTCCACAAAACTACTCCACCAGTGGTTTCTAGTTTCTTTGCTTTTTTTTCACTTCATTTGTTTTACTGTGGCACAACATACATACAGCTGACTGCACTGATCTGAAGTGTGCAATTTAACGGATTTTTACATATGGACATACTCGTGTATCCAGGCTACTTCCATTACCTTAGCAGAGCCACGGCCCTCTCAGGCAATACTCCTCCCAAAGGTAAATACTATCTGATGACTAACACTAGACTATTTTTGCCTGTTTCTGAATGTCCTATGAAGGGAATGATGCATGTTGGACTACTGCTCAACATTGGTCTGTGAGGTTCATCCAAATTGTTGTACGTAGCAAGGATGCATTCTTTTTTCACTGCGGTATATCCATACAGTGGACCACTATATGACAATGGATTTATCTCTTTTGTTGCTGGTGGACATTTAACTTGCTTGCAGTTCAGGGCTATAATGGATAAACCTGCAATGCCCTTTATTGGTCCCTGACCTCCAGTCTCTCCCCCTCACTGCTTCTTGCACAAGCCACCAAATTAATATTGTCAAAACAAAGTTCCCATCATATGACGTCCACAGCACATATACTGCCAATGGCTTCTCACTGGCTTTCTAAATAAACTAACCTCCTCATCCCAACATTCCATTAGTCCTGTTACTATATTTGATTCATTTTCCAGCCTTTATGGCCCACTCTGCCAACCATGTTTTAATCCACTCAGCCAAATTCTTACCATTGCTCAAGCACACCCGTCTGAAGCACTCATTCTCTCACTTGGGATGTTTGTTTTGCAATGGCTTAAGCCCTGGATGCGTCTGTCCTACTACATTCATTTTGCCTGTGGAAAACATCCACAACCTGCTAGGCTCTTATAAAAACACCAGCTCCTCCTGGATGTCTTGAGAGAACATCATATTCCCCACCTTGGAAGCCCATTAAATTTGAAGTCTCTCACTATTTCCTGTGGCATAGGAGTACTGACCACAGAGACTTTTTCGTAACAACTACCTGGAGAGTTGAATGGAATGGAGAGTGGGCTGCTATTCTCAGTCAGATTTCTGATGCTCTGTGTACCATGTTCCAGGACCACCCTTTTCTGGGTTATTGGAATTCTATTCGGCAAGTAAACACTCACTTAGATTAATCCTTTAATCGCTTAAGCAGCGGGAGAATTTGGCAACTCGAAAAGTAAATTAGTTGCATGATGCTCAGTTTTCAGTTTTAATAAAATATGGCTTTGAGAGACATTGATTTTTGTGGGCATTAAAGAAAGAAAAGAATTAACAGGAAAGGATCATTGACTGGTTACATTCAGCCTGAGCTCTCAAAATAAAGATTCCTCCCTTGCTCTTTCCCTAAATACACTATGAGACTGTGCTGGGAGCTGGCTGGGGTGTAGGGAGACAATCTACCTTGCCTTCATCAATCTCAGACTCTATTGGAGAAATAAAAGGGTAAGAACAGAGGAATCAGTGGAAATACTGGTTTCAGAAAACTTTGGAGGAAGAAGAAACAATACAAGGAAACCTTTTTGAGACAAACAAGAAATGCAATCAGCATTTCTGGTTGTGGAAAGAATTTCTGAAGAAGAGCCACTGTCAGTTTAGAACCCACAGTGACACGCTGTCAGTCAACCTCTGCTGGGGCAGGCTGTGGGGAGATTTTTCAAATACAGAGTAAGTTCGTAAAATTAACGACCAAAATCTCCTGTAAAAGTATGAAGTGGAGATTCAGCTGAGGTGGCCATTTGGGTCTTCAGGTGGCATCTGCTCACCCTGGGAATCTCTTAAAATTGCCTGTAAGATACAGTCATCACTACTCTGTATGGTAACACCATACAGGAATGTGCAGACATTAATTTAAAAAGAATTATGGAGAAATGTCCATCATTGAATCATGTAAGTATTTTGCTACTTAGGACACTTCAGCACATTGTTGAAGATCCCCATGGGGGGCTTTGGTGCCACAGCCACTGCCCTCTGGGGACCATTTTAGGAGTCCCTTGAACTCATCTCTGGTCAGTATGTCTACTGGGCCACTTGCCTATCACCTGAGAACTCGCTGTACTTCTGGGTCAGGGCTCAAAGGTCATTCAGACACGCTACCCAGAGGCGTCGCCAGCCTGCAGAAGTGTTTGCAGGCCGCCTCCCACGCTGCTGGGTGCACTGGGTAACTGGCGGACACTGGGCAGGAGGACCCTGGGACACTGCAGATTCTCGCCCGGCCCCCGTCTGCCCCCGCCCAGCCCCTCACTAAACGGAGCTGAATGCGAGTGAGCCACGTGTGCATGAAGAGCTGCCTTGGTGCCCAAAGTCAGGGGGAAATCCTTATAAAAACTGTTTTCCTGTTGAGGAGTTATAAGTCAGGCTACACAAAGATTTTTTTTCCCATCAATCATGCTTCCTAATTTCTAGTTTCTAATCATCTCCACTCATAATTTTGCAGAGGGCTATAACTAATGGCCAAAATAGCAGAGTAAGATCTGACCTATAATGTTCATATCTTACTGATAGTTGCCCAATTAATAAGGTCCTCTATGGCATATTGTTCAACAATAGATTATATTGTTATCTTCATCATGAATAATTCATTTCATATGACATGCATCAAGTCAAAGTATAAAATCATGCAGTAGGCATGTATATTTTATAGTTGACTGTAAAATAAAATGTATCCAGGGTGGCTTCTGCGTCAAGTAAGGGAATGAGCAATGGGAGGGGTTGCCTTCCCACAGGTCCACCGGGCAGCAGGGACAAAAAGGCTGCCATCTCTACCGTCAGCGAACAGTGACAGGAACCCACAACACCACGGTCACATCACAGACTTATTTTTTTACTTTTAATATCTTGGGACCAAAAGGAAGATAGAGGTTGTATTATCACAGGCTCACTATTAATGCAGTGCTTTTCAACCATGAGTGACTTGCCTCCCCAAGGGACACTGGGCCAAGTCCAGAGACAGTTCTGGTTGTCACAGTTTGGTGGAGGCATGGCCCTGGCAGCCAGTCGGCAGAGTCAGGGAAGCTGCTAAACCTCCCGCTATGTACAGGACAGACAGCAAAAATGCCACACCAATGAGTTACTGGGCCTCAGTGCCCACAGTGCAAGGACTGAGAGACCCTTGTTGGTGCCAGGCTTCTGGGTACTAAACCCCACACATCTTAGTTTCTCCTTATTAGAATACCAACTAGACCTAGTACACAGGAGATGGTATCTGGCACTGACATCGGGGTAAACTGGCGTCCCTGCTTTCACTGTTTACACATCTAAATAAATGTCATTTTCTGCCTGTGGGTGCAGGGAATTTTCTCTGTACCTGCTTACTTCTCAATGATGGGGTTCAGTCTTGCCTGCTAGGCTTCTTCAGGAGTGCACAGTCCACCTTGAAGAGTTCTCAACTTGGACACAAGGCTTATATTGAGAAGAACGCAGTTTGCTTTTGTCCTCTTACAGCGCTGTTGCAAGTGAGGTTTTACTTGACTCGAACCTTTCCTCTTTCTAACATGTGTTTTCTTCTCTGGTGACCACAGCATTTTGCCTGTTGCAAGGTCTATGTTTATGAAAGTTTACCCCCCATATTAGCACCACCAGCCTAACTTACCAATTTATACATTCCACTTTTTGTTTCCCTTTTTAAAATTCTGTTCTTATTTGAGTTATTTCTACTTTGCCAATGAATAAAGAGGGAAAAGTACCAGTTAATGGCCTAAATAATGTTTCTCTGAAGATTGTGATTTAATATATTCATGGGATACTGGTTAAAGAGAGATGAGTCATATTTCTTTATGTGTATATATATATACACACACATGTATATTCAGTCATCAAACATACTCTAAGCTTATAATCTATCATTTGTTCTAAATACTGAATTTAATATTACAGTAAGTTCAATTATGTCCTAATTAAGATGGCTAATGAGAAAGAATGAAACAAACCTATGACCTTTATTTTGAATTAAATCTAACTTAATGCCATGGTCATTATAATTGATTAATTTTACCCTCCTTCATTTACTTTACCTAACCTATCTAAAATCAAAATTTCATTTTATTTCTTTATATAAGGCTTATTGGAAAAGATCTTGTTTTAATTTTCAACATAAATTATACACTCAGATTTCATCTCCTTTAAAGAGTCTTCTTGAATTAACATTTTACTGTTAACATTTATAACAAGATCGAAATTCTTTGGAGAAAGAGTCTCCATATCGGCAGTACCTGCCTCATGGGGCCAGCGAGTTGGTCCCAGCAAAT